AGTCGTTGGATGCCTTTCTTAATTAAATGACTATTGAATAAACATCATGGTGTCTATTTACTTTTGAGATGTCTATATATATCAAATTGTCCATCTTTATGCAAATAATTTGTCCTTCTTATTTTTGCTTTCTTTAAAAGTTGCTCTTAATGTTACTATACTGTGGTATTTATTATTATATTTAAATGAATTCTAGTAAAAATGTATAATTCTAACAAAAATGTAGATGTTTTTAAAGAATTTGTGAAATTATGTAAAGGTATATAAAGATGAGAACATGTAAAAGCAATAAGTCTACCAATTTTGTGATTCATTGTATTACTAATTGCATAGGGAACATATTATGAACAAAACAGATACTCTGTTATTATAGTGTTAAAAATTATAAGATGTCTGTTGTAGTTGCTAGTTTGTAAACTGTCGTAAATAATTTCACAGAGAAATGCCACAGGTTTTTGTAATAATTTGAAGGTAAATAATGATTTGAAGTAAATTTGTAGATTTTCAGGAAATTATAAAACCTCTCAAGAGTTGATTAGTAAGTGTTTCGTAATCTTGATAACTTTAGAATTGTCAAAAAGGCCTTTTGTGACCTGTGGTGTAATTCATATTTCAAATTTTGTTTAGAAATTTCAGGTTTCACTTTTAATGTATGTTAATTTAAGAGATTTCAACTGGAAAAATTGGATGCATTATGTTTAAAACTCATTTCGTAGGTCACCGTTGAGGATAAATCTCAGGCCAATTTTAGGGGAATCTGTTCCTATTTTAGCATCCTTCCTTAGAAAAAATCAGAGGGCTCTCAAACTTTCAACTCTCACCCTCCTAGATACCCTCGTGAAGAACTACAGTAAGTTAGATATTCTTCCGTAAAACATTGGCAGTGCTAGCGTAAACATATAAGAATGCTCCGTATCTATGAAAATAATATTAGAATAAGTTAAATAATAAATTATTATTTACTTTACGTGTATATGAAATATCTTGTATTTACATTCATTGAAAATAACATACATGTGTGAGATCAAAATTATTTGACAACATGGGTTTGAATATTGAAAAATAAGGAAATTTGGTTTGATAAATATAGTAGTTTTTTTCTGGTAGGAGAATTATACCAACATCTAATTTTCTGTTGGGAAGGACTGGTGACTAATTATAGCACTGTTTGGTTTGTGGTTCTATTGATTCTAATAAACAAATTAGGTTTGTTTCAGAACCTCAGGTGTCTTTGATACGTTTGTGTGTGTAAGGTATAATTCATGTTGAAAATACCAATATCTGTTAACCAAGTAATTGAACTAAATTCAGAGTTGAGTCTAGTAAATGAGGAAAATACAGGAATAAGGTTTTCTTATCTTCATGTAAATGTAGTGGGCAAAACAATATGCAAAAAATTGTTTTAGGAAAATAAATTATTTCAATTAGATGATGTAGATTGATTAATATAAAAAGTATTTATATATAACCAATATTTTAAACTTATAATGTTTTCTGCCGGTACTGTCAGGTGTTCCATTTCATGCTATTCTGGAATTTTATGTTAAAATGACATGTATGTTCCAAAAGTCATATGTAAGAAATAGCACTATTCGTTACTTACTTAAATAATTTGATCATTTAAAAGAAGGGGTAGAAATAGTTTAGACTTACTTGAATAATTTGATCATTTAACAGAAGGAGTAGAAATAGTTTAGACTTACTTGAATAATTTGATCATTTAACAGAAGGGGTAGAAATAGTTTAGACTTACTTGAATAATTTGATCATTTAACAGAAGGGGTAGAAATAGTTTAGTAAATTATTTTATTCTCAGAAATTAAACATAAGTTAAAAGCTGTGACTTCACATTTTATATGAAAACAATTTGATCACAAATTGTAATTACTTTATTGTAATTAATTGTTACGTAATTATTTTTTAATTCTAATATCTGTATAACCTGAGTATTAGAACAAAGGTTGTTTTTTCTTATTAGTTAATCCTTGTCAGAAAACTATGTGACTTTTGAATTTGTTATAGTAAGATTCCTTTTTAACCTCTTTTCACAAGCCTCAAATATGCAACATCCCACATCAACTTAGAATATAGAATTTTCAATTTCATATCATATCTGTGACATACAAATAGAGGATAAATCTTCTCGATGTTTTATTGTGGTATTCCCATTTTTGTGTTGATCCTACTTTATCAGAAACCTCTAATAAAGTACAATATACCATTTTCAATCTGTATTTGATACCCGAGTTTAATTTATTTGTTTCCTCTATGCAGATACCATTACTTTTTGGCCTGGTTGTTTAGTTGAAATTTAAAACTATCATGGAGGCACAGTTGTAATTTTGTTTTATTTTTAGATTATAGAATTATAATTTTACTTTAGATAAATGACAGTGCTTGAATTATTTAACTGTTTGCATTGGAAGAATGCATTAAGCCTTGTTATCACTTTTAACAAGGTGTTTTCAAATTCCAGTTTATTTGATATTAATGTTTTTCATTCTTGGTATTAACAGGCGAGTCACTCACTTCAGAAATGATCGATAAAATTATGAATGAACTCCCTGCTCTGATCAATGAGTCGGACTTGCATATTTCACAGGTACGTTTGTATAAGCTATTAAACATTTTGTTTTGGAGATTGCCTTGTATTCATTTCTGAACTTGTTTTCTTTGTGTTGAATTAATCTGTAAGCCAATCTTATGGGTTGCACTGGACTGTAACACAGATTGTTATTCTTAGATATTACTAAACATGCAACAAGCATAGTTTTCTTTCATGTTTTTACAATGTTACTTTTATAAATAAATTTTGTACCAAATGATGAAAAACTGTATTAAATATTGTTTTCTGCATTTCATACTATTACTTAATCTTAGCTTAATTTGTTTTTATAGAAATCTTTGTTCACTTGTTACTGTTAAGATTAAGACTGCTTTGAGCTTAAACAGATGTTGTGATTAGATTAAACTGAAACAAGTGCCTTGTTTTTGTTTTAGTTGACAATGAGCTTGCTAACTTCAATCTCCAGGGTTCATAAACAGTCCTTGGTACAAGTTACAGATGCAATTCTGCCTGAAATTTTAGTACTAATCAAATCACCGCTATTGCAGGGTAAGAATTTATTAACTTATTCTTCATCTTTGTGAAATAAAAGTGGTTTTGTGAACATTTGTTTTTAGAGAGAGAGTTTTGTTTTCGTTTTTTTTGTTGAAGTACAAACTACAATTATTTAAGTTTAACAAAAATGTTTGTGTACAAGCTGTGACCTGGAAAACATTTGTGGTAGTTTTCCTGCCCTTCACATGAATTTTCTTGTGTGGAATTTAGATTATGCTTTCTTGTAGGCATTATGTGTAGATCAATAAATCCTGGTCTATTTGACAAAATTTTACTTGTAGGCATTATGTTCAGATCAATAAATCCTGGTCCATTTGACAAAATTTTACTTGTAGGCATTATGTGTAGATCAATAAATCCTGGTCTATTTGACAAAATTTTACTTGTAGGCATTATGTGTAGATCAATAAATCCTGGTCTATTTGACAAAATTTTACTTGTAGGCATTATGTGTAGATCAATAAATCCTGGTCTATTTGACAAAATTTTACTTGTAGGCATTATGTGTAGATCAATAAATTCTGGTCTATTTGACAAAATTTTACGGAGTCAGATAAGCAAACTCAAGTTGTATAACTTCATTTAATAAAACTACATGTAAATGACTTTATTTAATAAAACTACACGTATGTAACTTCATTTAATAAAACTACATGTAAATGACTTTATTTAATAAAACTACATGTATGTAACTTCATTTAATAAACCTACATGTAAATGACTTTATTTAATAAAACTACATGTATGTAACTTCATTTAATAAAACTACATGTAAATGACTTTATTTAATAAACTACACGTATGTAACTTCATTTTTTGTAAGGAAATTATGCACGGATTAAATGTTGTTTGTGTGAAATACTTTGCAAATAAAAAAACTAAAGTTGAAATCAAAGCCAGTTGTCATTTAATGATAACTACATTGTGCCATTGCGTAGCATACTTGTTGCATTAAAAAGTCTGACTAACCAAAAAACAGGTAAGGTCATTCTGAATGGAAAAGCCAATATGCAATCCAGACTCCTTGGACAAAGGCCTTTCTAACGATACGAGACTTGAAGCGTTTGATTGAGAAATCTCCAAGACACATAAACAAATGCAAGCGTATTATTTATAGATAACTTATAATTAGGTGATAAATAAAAACAATGTATTCAGATATGCTAAAAATGAAGTTGTTTGGGTAGTTTTTTTTTTTTGAAGAAATAAATTTATCCTTCTAATGATGGGAAATAAGTTTAAACGAGTCAAACTAATGACATTGTACAAAATGTTAATTAAGTATGTAATGAACAGTTTTTAAAAACAAATTCTGTATCTAAACAAAAAATATCTTTGTAGGTGCTGCTCTAAACTCAATGTTAGAGTTTTTCCAGGCTCTAGTTATGCTAGATCTACCAGGACTAGGTTACAAGAAACTTTTAAAGGTGTGTGATACTATTAAAAATTAATTTGTTCCTATCTTTTAACATTATCAATAATGTTTTTGATCAGAAGTGATTGCTTTAATACATAACATAACATAATGTTTTGGGACAACAAGGGTCCTACTGGTCCATCTCAGCTGTCCCATCTTCTAAACAGAAATAAAACTATTAAATAAACAAATAAACAAAAAATCTTAAAGCCAGCCCTTATCATTCATATAGTTATCAATCTTTCTCTTAAATTTGCTTAAATTTACTGCCCTCCACAACATCCAAGGGCAATCCATTCCAAAAGCCAACTACCCTTTTAGAAAAATAAAACTGTCTTAGCTGAAGATGACTGCTATCATGCCAAAATTTATATTTGTTCCCTTAGTCCTACTATTCTTACTGTTAAGTATGGAAAAAGATGATGCATCAACACTATCTTAACTCTTTTGCAATGGGAGACCCTTTAAATGCTCTTCTGCACAAGACACATTCAAAATTTAATTAAATGCCTTAAAGTTTTATTTTATCCAAGTTTTAAGTCCTTTATTACAAAATAAACCTATAAAAAAACTACTTAAAACTTCAGATGTCACGTGACCAACGGGCTATGAAAAATCTCTACTTTGACTCTCTGTATCTTCAGTAATACAATGGTAATAGAGTAGAGGTATGTCTAGATGATAAGATGTTTACATAACTTTTTGACTCGTTCCTTTCAAAGTACTCTGAATGAATACGGTTAAAACAATTAATAAATCTTTTCAACCTAATAGCTGCCGTGCCCACTGTCAACAGATTTGTTTGAGCTTTATCCCTTCCATGTAGATATTACATACACATGTATATAGCAATTAAAAAGAGCTTATTTTATAGTATAAACTAACAATTGTTATTTTCAAAATGGTGCCAAGTCTTTGTCACAGAGTAGATGAAATTGACTATAGTATTGTTGGCTGCTTGATCACCTATAGTTGGTTGTTTCTTACCTAAATATGTTATATTTAGAGATGCAGTATAAATTGTATTTAGGTCTTACTATTATATTTTAGTTAATTATGTATTAGTTATGTTTTAAAATGCATAATTAAAAGCTTTAAACATTTTTTAAATATACATCATACTTAGCGTCCATTCTCAAGGCTTACGATATTATGCACTGAACGAAAATTTGGCTAAAGGGTTGTGCATATCTCCCAAAGAAACTAATATGTCTTGAGGATACCGTTGACTTGTGTCAAGATGAATAATAAGTTGTACAAGACAAGAAAGAAAAATAAAACATTAAAAATTTACTGTATATGAAAAGGAAAAAAAGATGAAATTATGAATTTAACAAAAGGAAATTCTTTAAAGATATTCTACAAAAAATTAAAAGGTACATTTTTTTTTCTATTTCCTAATTTATTTTCCTAATAATAGTTTGAATGCGAGTAACTACAATAGAAAAATAAAATTTTTAATAAAACACTTAATTATTTTAATTATAATTAATGTTAATTATTTTAATTATAATTAATGTTAATTATAATTAATTTTAATTGATGTAATTTTAATTATAATTACAAAAAAATTCAAAGGTGCCTATTTTTTTCTATTTCCTAATTTTTTCCTAATTTTAATTATTTTGTTGCATTACACATTGAAGATAATAAAACACTTAATTATAAATTATAAAATTATAATTACAAACAATTAAAAGGTACATTTTTTTTTCTATTTCCTGATTTTAATTATTTTGTTGCATTGCACATTGATGATAATAGCTAGAGCTAGTGATATGTTGGAGAAATGGAAAATAAAACTTAATAATTTACCTGAATGTCTTTTTGATATCCTTTTAGGAAGTTCTAAAGATTATGCAAATGAAATATGAAACTATAAGAGGAAGAAAAGTATTTTTTATACTTAAAATGAAAATCACTTTGCACTCGATTTCTTAATAGTTTGAATGCGAGTAACTACAATAGAAAAATAACATTTTTAATAAAACACTTAATTATAAAACCGTCATTATTTGTGTGCAACATACTTACGATCTTTAACAAAATCTTACAGTTTTGAAAGGATACGTTAAGAAATCTCTGAGTTACTGCATATATTTTTGTACAAGTGAAATTCAAGACTTGATTTCTACAAATTGCACGAGCCCACCATGAAAGAGATAAACACTTCAATGAGACCCCCCCCCCCCAGCTCTTTTTTTTTTTTTTCAAGAGAAAACTGTTTGAAAGATTTCAAACTCTCCTTGTATGACAACTCCTCCATCTCAGGCACCACTCTAGTAACCCTCCTCTGAACTCTTTCCAACAATTCAATGTCCTTCCTAAGGTAA